TATAGAGTGTTCAAAACTTAGGTCAAACGATTATTGTGGTAATAATGATGTTAGTAATCATGATGGTGATAAACAGTTTAAAGTTTTCATGCCAATGAATCGTTTAAATCAGTTGAACTCTTAAATATTATTTTTTTTATTACTAAATTTAGTAGAGGTAAAGCAGTTTTAGTAGTTCTAATACTAACTGCTCAGCTTTAGGTTATATCATTTGAGTTTAGAAAACATTTTCTTTGGTGAGCTGATAAAACATTTCAGCCCAAAGTGGTCCACGCGATTTTCCGTTGGGTGCATAAAATCGACTGAATGTGCCTTTAAATGCTATCTGTATCTGTTGAGCAAAAGTTTTAAAAAGCGCCAAAGATGAAACCATTGTTAAAAAATTAATAATAACCGGGAAATTGATATAATTAAATAAAAAATTATATGAAAATAAAATTGCTACCTTCAAAAATGCGTGAAGGCACAAACGTGAAGGTCTTTGCCGCTTGCTATTAACGCGTAATCGATGGATTAATTACAATATAGTGCTCAGTTAACAATCATTTCGCCATTAATTGTTGACCAAATCATTTTTGTCACAACCTCTCCATATATTCCATATTATATGTACCTACTTAATGAATTATAATAAAAGTGAGAGTATAATGCAAATATATAATATATGGAAAATGATGTAAGAAATTAACTGAGAATATATAGACATATAAATTATAGATCAAAACCATAACCATCGCTTCAAACAGTTTTTACTATCATGAAAGTAATTTACCTACTATTAGAGATGATTATTCTGATTAAACACAGCTTAAAAAACTAATTAAAATTTGTTGTAAAACTTATTAAAGCAACAAAGTATAAACTAGCAACAAATTACACACATTAAGGCGGTACTAAGAGTCCACATTTTGTAAGGGGTCAAATCATCTGTTCAAATAAAATAACCATTACTGACGAGAGTTAGCTGTAGCAATACCTCCTTAATGTTTTCAGGTATAACAAATACAGTAGACACTTTTTAAACGCATACCCCTACTAACTAGACTCTCCTCCTTGGTGGCAAATTTTCTGAAAACCAATTATTTTTTATCACGTTTTTGAACAATATAAACCCTTTTGGCCGGACACCTCTACTAAATGTACAAAACTTGGCTCAGGAAAGTAAATGTAATATGAAATTGTACCCACATACATATATGTATTATCTCCAAAAAATAATACGTATTTATAATTTAAGCTTTAAGTACTTTAAATACTCACAACTCGATAAAAATATAAATATATTATATATCTGTTATATATATATATTATAAATATATAATTAGCATCGTATACGGCTCTAAATTAAATTTAAGACAACTTTAATCCACTGTTTATCTTATGTGTATATAATCTATTAACACAACATTTCAAACACTATTAGCACTGCTTTCCAACATTACTGATCTTCATATTATTTTCTGATTCTTTTGAGTAGTGTAATTAATTGAGTGTGGCGAAAATTCAGATTAGGGGGCTCGCTAGTATCGTGTGATGTTACAACAGGCCACTTTGCCTTAAGTGTATTGGTTTCCAATCAACGAAAGCCGACTACTGGGTCTATCTTCAATACGTAACCTGTTAAATTTTCAAAACCTTTTACAGATCATATTACTCTTATTTTAGTGTAAAATTAAAAAATTTTTCTTGCTCCTTAAAACTCTTTTTTGTTGTTATTAAAAAGTTAATTCCTTTTATCAAGCATTATTTTTGAGATATCTCAAGCGCCATTGTTCAAGTGCAAACTTCGGTAAGTTTTTGATTTTAATAAATATATATGCATGACACTAAATAATTATTATATTAAGCACTGCCGATACCGTAGTATGTTATGTTATATACAAATATTTAGTATATTATATACTATATATTATACATTATATTATATGTATATATTATACATTATATTATATGTATATATTATATACCATATATTATATTTTATATATTATATACCATATGTTATTTACTATATATTATATACTATATATTACATATTATACATTATATATTACATATTATATACTATATACTACATATTATACATTATATATTACGTATTATATATTGTATATTATACTTTATATATTATAAAATACTATATATTATTATATTATATTATTTAAAATTAAAATTTAAAATCAATCAACATTTGTTTTGCTAAAGTTTTAATGAACCTTACAGAAATATCTAAATATGCCCGATATTTATATATTCAATTTTGTTTTATTATATAAAATGAAATGTATATATAAAAACATAAAAATATATATATTGTTTATGTGTTAGGTACTACCATATATACTACCATAGGTACATATTATTTATCTGGATATACAGATAAATAATCTCTGTGTCATATGAAATCTATCTCTGTGTTAAGTTTCATATGACTAAGTTAGCGGCAAGCAACTAAATAAACCAACACACACAGACACACAAAGATATAGACTGACAGGCAAACACAAGGACAGACGGACGGACAGACAGATGGGTAGAGAGACTGACGAATATCACTATATCACATCACATCCCTATATCCTTTTATACATATTATTGTAAATTGTGTTTAGGAAGAAATCATCAGGCTAAACATAATTTCTTAACTAGTTTTTTATGGCATAATCAATACTTGCTTTATAGCATTACGAGTATGAATTTAAAATAACCTGCTCTTACTCTGGGTGTGCAGGGTGTGAAGATAAGTGTGCAGGGTGTTTTTAATAACTGATCTAATATCTATTGCAGGATACTGAAAATTTATTGGAGGAGTGATTTTAGAATGTAAACCTCATTAAATATTATCACTAAATATAATTATTTTTTTTTCAATTATTTCATAACAAAAACCCCGTTTTTTGTATTAAAACCCCGTTTAAGTAAGTCTATGTTTATGTTTTGCAATAACAACGATGTTGTTTTGTGTACTATAATAATTTTTTTTGTTTCAACTAAAATCATATACATAAGTGGATAATTCGTTATGATAAACTATATATTGCAAATATATTAATTAAAAATAAAATTTTGTAAACTAATTATTGATTTGCAACATCATTTTAAGTGTGAAGGGCATATTAACAAGAAAGTAAGTTCACTTAGTAATAAAAGTATTTATAATATCTGATTAAGTTACTTTAGTAGATGATGGTGTAGAAAATGTTTTTTGTTTAAAGTAAAAATAATTCTTTCAGAATGATAAATTTCATATCCCATCTTCTCTACATGATAACATCAAACGATCGACAAAAACGGAACTGTTGTTTTGTAGTTCACAGTTTTTATTAAGTATAAACTGCAAGGTTGTAATAAGAATTTACATAATTAAATTGAGAGTGTAATGCCGGTGAATTGATTGCTAATCATTTATAACCGGAAAAATTAATTTTCTTTAATTTATAAATATGTATTCAATATGGACTTAGGTAGGACCATTTTTAAGTCAACTCATTTTAAGTCTCATTTACTTAATCACTTAGACATGTTCACCACAAATTCTATTTTGTTGGCGTCATCACTAATTTACCGTTGTTTTAAAGTAGTAATAATGGTTATTACTATAGAATAATAGGGGGTTTAACTAAAGAAATCATAGTGATTTCAGGAAATAAAAAATAGAAGATGATTTTCTTTTTGATAGTACATCAAATAATAGACTTTACAGGAAATGATAAGGAACTACTCACTGCACATACTTACTTGTCCTTATATTTACTAATATTACTCCTAAACTTAAGTACTAATATTACTAATATTTTGATAAATATTTGTTTGTTTATAAGGTGTGTTTAAGACAAGAAATCCTCAACAAATTAGTCTCATATCCCCATAATGATAAAAAAAACAGTTGGTTTTAGCAAAAATGTTCACTTAGAGCAGATGTCTGTCCAAGCAAGGTATTCGTAATGAGAGTGTTTGCTGTGATTATAAGTTTGATTATTCACTTTTTATTCACATTTACATTCGTTTTCCTAAGGTTAAAAATTATTTCTACAGTTTCTTTAGGAAAGATAGCACATTTTCGTTTGGGCTTTAATACATCATGGTTTTTGACAACAAGCCTTGTACAGCGACTCATTTAAGAAAGAGTTTTTGAAGGACAATAGACTTCACAAAAATTTGGTATTAAACTACTCACTTCACATTTATAACATATTTACTAATATAAACTAAGTAACCCACAAACTAAAGAATTTACTAATATTTTAATAAATATATGTCTTGAAATGAGGTTTGTTTAAGAAAAGAATTCCTTAACAAACAAATCTTTTCAAATACCAATAATTACAAAAATACCATTGGGTTTAGAAAAATGTTTATATATAAGAGATGTCCATCCAACTAGGAGAGTTTTTACTATAATATAAAAGTGGATTATTAATTTGTTCTACACATTTGAATTGTTTCTAAAAGATTGTAATTAATTTATACGATTTATTTAAGAAAGACTTGCTGAAGGACACTTCAGTTTGGGCTTTTGTACAGTATGGTTTCGGATTATAAACACCCATACAGTGATGTCCGTCCAAGTGGGGTATTTGTAGTTTTCACTGTGATTATAAAGTAACTCATATATTTCTTATTCACATTTGAATTAATTTTAAAATGTTATAATTTTTTTTCCACGGTTTCATTAGGAAGAGTTGTTGAAGGACACTTCCGTTTGAGGTTTACTACATCATGATTTCTGACAACAAACAACCCGTATATCGATATATATACACATACACATAAACACAGTCAAAATCATAACAGAAGAGCAGTTGTGCGGTTTACACGGAGCGGATAATAAAAACGAACTAACGGAAGATGATTAACTTATCACTAAATGGACTAATTAAAATGCAAAGCTCACGATGGTCCTCCGTCCGGACGTAGGAGATATTGTATTAACATATTTAAATCTCTCACACAATATACATACAATTATAATATATATATATATGTATGTATCTACATACCTGATATTTCCATGCCTTAGAAGTGATGAACTGAAGTTGTAGTTGTGACCAATAGAAATAGAAACGGTAACAACAACGACAGCAAAATCAGCAACATTTTCATTGGCGTCAATAACTTCTTCACCGTGCAGTAAATGCACTGCTTAAGATGCAAATTAGAAACCTACGGAAGACTAATTGCACAACTGGCAATTATAAATGGAACGGACATCCGCACACAGACAGGAAGAAATACCACTCAATAATAAAAAAAGACGAAAGAATAAATTGCAGCAGCGGACGTAGCTGTGGCCGTCATTGAGTGTTGTATTCCACGAAAATGGATAGCGGCAACGAGGGCATCATCTTTAGCTAAGTTCGGTTCGCACGTCGATCATTGATTGATATTGATTGTTGATAAGCGTTTGCTGCGTGCGTGCGAAGCGATGTTCGGCTGTACTGTCAATCTTAGGTGCGCTTAAATATTCGCAAGTCGGTGCAGTAGCGGTTATGACGATTGTTGACTGATTTGTATCACTGCACTTTCTGCACTTTTTAAATAATTGATTGACAAACGAAAACATAAATAATTTAATATGATTTTTTAATTTGATTTATGTTGGCATTTCAATGAATTCAACTTAAATTTTCTTTCTCTGCTTGAATTGAGTTGGAGTTGGAGTTGTTCAAATTTTTCAAATTTTTCAAATTTTTCAGATATTTCTAATATTGACAATTATTTATTGGATTTTTGTATGATTGTAATTGTAAGGAACTAACATTTTTGCACCTTTTTGTTGCAAGCATTTCGAAGCAATAAAATTCACATTAATACATACATATATCTTTCTTATCATATGTGATAAACATTTGAATTCGAGAATATTTTTAACACCTTTTCGGATTATATGATTTGTACTTAAATAGTTTTGTTTTTAATAATATTTTCCTGTTTTGTGATTTATTTATATTTTGGTTTATATTTAAAAAAAAAATTTTTTTAATAATTTTAATTTGCACAATGAAAATTGCAAGTTTGTTAATTAATTAATAATTAATTTTTTTTAAAAATTTAGTTTAATTTTTTTTTTGTGTACTTTTGTTTTGCTTAACGTTTCTTTAATTAGTTTAGATTTATTAAAAAAAAATATTTGCTGGGTAATATTCGCAAGTTAATAATAACACTTATAAGTGATGATACAAATTGAATTTATTTTATTAAATAAAAGTAAGCATCATAAAGCAAATAATTTTTTTTTATCCTACACGTTAAAGTATTGCAGTAAGGCACGTCCGAAAAGTTTGAGATCGTCTTATTGACTGGATGACTTGCGCGAAAACACATTTTTCTGATCTCAAAAAAGTGCTCTGAATTAATAAATTCAAACAATCTACACATTAAAAAATGTAACAATTGCACTACACTACTTTAGTGTAACAGCAAAATAGTAAAGCAGCCAAGCAGCCAAGCAGCCAAGCAGCGAAGCAGCTAAGCAGCTAAACATCTAAACATCTAAACAGCTAAACAGCTAAACAGCTAAACAGCCAAGTAGTCAAACAGCCAAATAGGCGAACGGCCAAACAGTGTGTAGTGCGCTTTGGCCCAGTAGCGGACAATACTTATGCAGCTCTTGATCTAAAGTAGACCACATTCATCCATATATATTTACACTCAATTCGATTTAAAATAGTTTACTGTTATCCACCGCGCCGTCACTCGTTACAACCATTCCCCACAGATATAAGATGAAGTACTGAATTTGTAACGATCTTAACGCGTTAGTTTACCCCAAGTGAGGCAGCAGCGTTTCTAGCGGCAGCAAAAGCACATAGCCTCACCATCAGTATTAGCATCAGTAACAGAAACAGAAACAGCAAAAGCAACAGCAACAGCAACAGCATCAGCATCAGCATCAGTAACAGTAACAACAACAACAATAACAATTACAAAAACAGCAAAAGTAGTTGTAATAATAACAACAATAATAACAATAACAACAGCAGACTATTTTATTAAACATACACAAATATACATAGATATATTCACATGTCTATATATAAACATATAAACATATAAACACACAAACATATATACATAAATGTAACAACAAAATAAAATAAAGACACCCGAACGAGATCGACATTGCACACGCGCACGCCGCTCTATCATAGCCATAACCGTAGCCACAGTCGTAATCATAGTTTGGCCAACAGCGAAGAAGACAACAACTGAAACTGTTATAATAAATGTGCAATTTAAAGCAAAAACAAAAACAAAAACAAATACAAAAACAAAAACAAAAACAAAAAGTAATAAATAAATGAAAAGAGCAAGGAACTGTCGTTGTTTTCTGCCTTGGCTCTAATGCTAATGCTAATACCAATGCTAATGGTGTATTTGCTTTACCTTATTGCGGTTGTGGAATGGCATGGTGCGCGGTGCGTTACGAAGCGATGCCATGTGCTGCTCCGTTTTGCGTTTTATTGCAATATATCAAGGTAGGGTCTATAGCTGTGAAGTGCGGTGTGTGGTGTTACACATTGAAGTTGACTAAGTTAAAACAGTTTTAAGTTGCCGGCAGCATTCCATTAGTTGCATTTAACATCCGAAATTGGGTGGAGTATCTTCCGCCCAAGTGTGTTGTTGTTGTCTTGTTGTTGTGTTGTTGTGTTGTTGTTATGTTGTTGTTGTGTTCGTAAACACAAATATGTGTGTTTGATATCAGAGAGTATAGGAGAAAGAGAGCCTTTGTCATTGTTTTCAAACGATCTGAGAGGGATGGAGAGAGCAACAGAGAGAGAGAGAAAAAAGAGCATTAATTGAATTAATAAAAATATGTGCTTCAACAATATTGCAGTAATATTGATTGTACGTTGTTCCTAACAGTCTCAGCACACACTCATATGTATGCTTTTCGAGTACATTAGACGCAAGGCGAAAACGTGTACTACTATTCAACTGTTCACTGTCTTATGGTACTATTAGAGTTGATCTATCTACCTATCTACTCTTATGTGTAATAGAGTGCGCATTCCAAGTAAGTCAATATTTGGCAAATTCCTAATGTTGCAAGAAGATTTAATTTTTAGTCATTGGGAGGCCACTGTCAGGGTTCTTCAGCAACTTCAAATTATAACAAAACTTTATTCCTTATATTGCATTTTGAAGTCTAAAAAATAAGAAAAGTTGGACGGCTATCGAGACCTTTCTATTTTGTTAATTTCAAATTAAATAGTGTGGATGATATGCCAATCATTTGAAGACGGTAACAGTTCTAACCAAAATTGATATGGATACAAAGGACAATATTTCTGTATATAAAATAACTACAAGTATGTATGATTATTATGTATTATTATTATTCTAAATTATGATTCCACATAAAAATTTAAGACTATTGTAATAATTTTGTGAGTTATTTGTACTTCAATCACACCCAAAAGATTTATATTGTTAGTGTTGAGCTTTGTGAGCTAGAATTGAGTTTTGCTTCCATTAGAGAATCTGCTGTACATAACAATATTGTTAATAATAACTAATGAAGGTTATATATACCGGCGGTCATAAGGATTCAATTATGCCTTTTAACTTATAAGATATTTAAAGGTTTAAAAACCATAACGAACGTACGACAAATCCTGTAATGCTCCTTAGAGGGAGGTCGTAGAGTTGACTGATCCTCAAAAAAGAAAACCGCTAAAATAGTTAATCAGAGTAACAATGCAGATGTGAACTACTTTCTCCGCTACTGCGACAGGAATGATTGAAAGAGAGTAAATCTTCCAAAATGGTTCCCTAATCGACCAGGCCTCAAATCTAACACAAGACTGAATAAATATCGAAATTATTGTATATTATATATAAAAATGCAGGGGCCACGAGCGAGTACACAGGGCAACTTGGAATTAGGAGTTTATTTGGAAAACGCCAGCGAAATCCTTGTTGTCCTCAATCCAAGTTGTTGTACAGCCTCTACGTGGTACTCCTAGGTACTCGATAGGTAATGCTCTAAAAGTGTGTACTGCGAGTTCCATTTCTAAAATTCTAAGTTTAGGTTGTGTTTAGGTTGTGTTAAGTTTAGGGTTTGCCACCCTCCAATGAAGTACGTGCAGCTTCAGTCTGAAACTCAGCAACAGTTTGTTAAGTCAGTAAGTAACATATATATAAATTGGCAACGATATATTAACAATATATAGATTTGACATTCAAATTATGTGACAGTAACTTATGGCATGCATTAATGACACCAGTTCAGGTACATCTACAATTAATGAGATTGCAACAAATAGGATTTGCAATTCTTTAAATCTGAATTCTGAACAGTTTCGGTTGATTTCTCGTCGGTCAATATATTTAATTTGATATAATATGTATTGTACTAAAAGAAAATATGCTTAATATTTCCCGAATAATTGGGAAAATATAAATCAAAACTGAACTGAATTTGTTTTTTTTGAAGGGGGGCTCATTTTCAAACGATTAAAAAAAATCAAATTCATTTTAAATGATATTTCATATTAAAATCATAATACAGATGAAAATTTTCATTTGTTGAATTAGCATATAACATAGCCCCAATAAAAAAATAATTTTAATATTGTTCTTTAAAATATGTAGTACATATGTACACACAAAACCTACTAAGCCCTATTGAATTGAATTAAAATTTATTACAGAGTTATAAAATAAGGAAACTTCAATTTGTCAAGTTTACATCATATACATATGTTTTCAATTATATTTAGTTTAAGTGATTTAGTCGACCAATATGTAAATGAAATGTCATGAATGTAATCTGTATTAAAATATATTAACACAATTGAAGTGTAGTGTCATCACTTTACCAAAAAGACAATAGACACAATTTACAGATAGCTTACAGATGTTATAGACGTTTAGAGTCGACGTTAACGCCGATCATAGCTTAATATAAAAATATATCATAGTGCTTCCTTAAAACTAATAATCTTGTTTAAAAACTCCACTGCAGTAGATTATTATTGTGGTACTTTGTTGTTCTGAGCTCAAATAGGAGGAGTAGTGCCGCTGGAAAAATTTCTTTGTCAGCTTTATATAATTCTATAAACACATCTGCCTATTTAATAGTTTGCAAATAACATTTTAATAGATGACAAAAGCATTTTAAAGTCTATTTAACTATATTTTGATTCCGTGCACAACTAAAAATGTAGGTCGTATCATAACCAATGGCGCCGCAATCAATCCTGGAGCACCTAGTTCATAGCGGATTTTAAAAACATAAATTAATATAATACGAGCAAATGCTTGTATTGCAAACTTCTGCGAGCCGCGGCGAGATACTATAGAACTTCTTCCTCTTGTCGTCAATCTGTTTATCAAAATGATTATTCTTTTTCATTAAGTATTTGTCAATTAAATTTTCGTAGCCATAATGACCTATCCTCAGAGATATAGGCGAATTGCTATTTTTATTCTTTACAAATAAAAACTATTTATTGGGTCTCACATTTTTCTCCGTTTAATTGATTTTAATATCTACCATTTGGATAAGAATCCGTTCTAATCTAAAAAATTAGATGATTATATGATTAGCTGAATCTCTTAGTACTTCGGGTATGCAATGCATTGCTTTATGTAATTGGTAAAATAGTTTCTATTTA